GGCTCTATCTCTGCGTCGGACGGAGAGCATCCATCGGAGCCTCCCCCAGACTCCAGCACTGGTCCAAGTTCCTCCGCAACCTCCTCATCGTCCAAGTCTACCGCCAGTTCTGCTGACAGCTGGCGGAGCCACAACAACAAGCAAAGTCAATGGGGAAGTTAGATTCCCTTAACAACCGCATTACTAACTTAACAGTTGCAGTGGTTCGCTTAACAACGGTGGCGAGAAAGGTCGTAAAATGGGACAAAGCTCCCTTATCAATGGTCTCGCTTAGCAACAGAAATATACGACTCAATTGTGGTCGTAAGTGGAGGATTATCTTCTACCGTTCAGTCTTCAATTGACCGACCAAAAGATGCACTAATTTATTTTATTTTTTCTCTGTTCCCTTTCAGAACATCGCAATCATCATCGTCATCATCATCGCAAGAACAAGCGACATGTGCTCCATAAGACAAAATGCAGGAGGTTTTTGAGGCACTGCACTTTTAAGGGGATCCATGTTCCCTTATAGTTCTTGGCACGACCCAAGGAGATTTATTATCCATGACGCAATATTGATTCTTCGGTTATGCGCCTTTCTCGTTTTTTTTAAAAAAATATCATTGTTTGCCCTAGGAAACTGCTTGATTGTTTGGAAATAAAGCTCCGAGCTTGAGGCCTTTGTGGGAGTGAATGGCCTGTAAAGAATTGTGTGGACAAATAATAGTAGCAATGGAACTTGCTATACGCCGGGCACGCTTCCTGCTGCACACATTTTGCAATCCCTTGTAAAAACCCAGAGAGGTGCAGAAAATAAAGGAAACGGGGATATCATTTCCAAAAGGGATGGAAGTCTTTAGCCTACCCTTTCCAAAATGCTAACCGGAAGATGGAGGTAGTCTTCTACCTACAATCAGAATAGAGTAGTAGAGCCGGAAGGGACCTTAGAGGTCTTCTAGTCCAACCCCCTGCTCAAACAGGAGACTCTTATCATTTCAGAGAAGTGACTTCTCAAAAGCCTCCAGTATTAAAGCACCCACAACTTCTAAAAGGCAAGTTTTAGAAGTTCCACTGATTTGTTCTGTCAGGAAATTTCTCCTCGGTTCTAAGTTGTTTCTCTCCTTGATTCGTTTCCGTCCATTCTTGTCCTGCCCTCAGGGGCTTTGGAGAACAGCTTGATTTCCTCTTCTTTGTGGCAGCCCCTCAAATATTGGAAGACTGTGATAAGATAAGATAAGATAAGATAAGATAAGATAAGATAAGATAAGATAAGATAAGATAAGATAAGATAAGAATTCTTTATTGGCCAAGTGTGATTGGACACACAAGGAATTTGTCTTTGGTGCATACGCTCTCAGTGTACATAAAAAGACATTCCTCAAGAAGCATAAGGTACAACACTTAACGATAGTCATAGGGTACAAATAAGCAATCAAATCATACTAGGAAATAATCAATATAAATCGTAAGGATACAAGCAACAAAGTTACATTCATACAGACATAAGCGGGAGGAAATGAGTGATAGTAATAGCTAATCCGAGAGGGATTTCAGTCATGGGTGCTGAAGGTACATCTGAGCCTAGTACAAAAACACGGGATTAACTGCCAGGATTTCTGGCAAAACGAAGTTATAAGCTGGCTCAGCCACCTCAATAGAATAGAATAGAATTTTTTATTGGCCAAGTGTGATTGGACACACAAGGAATTTGTCTTTTGTGCATATACTCTCAGTGTACATAAAAAGACAAGATACATTCGTTAAGAATCATAAGATACAACACTTAATGATAGTCATAGGGTACAAATAAGCAATCAAATCATATTAGGAAACAGTCAATATAAATCGTAAGGATACAAGCAACAAAGTTACAGCCATACAGTCATAAATGGAAGGAGATGGCTGATAAGAACAATGAGATTAATAGTAGTGCAGACTTAGTGAATAGTTTGACAGTGTTGAGGGAATTATTTGTTTAGCAGAGTGATGGCGTTCGGGGAAAAACTGTCCTTGTGTCTAGTTGTTCTGGTGTGCAGTGCTCTATAGCGTCGTTTTGAGGGTAAGAGTTGAAACAGTTTATGTCCAGGATGCGAGGGGTCTGTAAATATTTTCACAGCCCTCTTTTTGACTCGTGCAGCAAACTGTTCCACTGGTTAATTGTTCTAACTATCAGGAAATTTCTCCTTCGTTCTAATTAGTTAGTTAGTTAGTTAGTTAGTTAGTTAATTAGTTAGGTTAGTTCTCTCCTTAGGAAAAGAACGTGTCGGTAAGAATACTGATGTCTCCCTCCAACTATATTTGGAGATACTCCCTTCCATTCACCTTTACCTTCTTTAACCTCATTATGTCTTTTTATACACAAAGCCTCTTTCACTCAGGCTTATCGTTTATCCTGATTTACAGCAAAGGCTGGAATGAACTACGAAGCTGGGACAGAAAAGCTCTAGAGCTCGTTGGACAAATATGACCAGCAAAGAAAAGAAAATTCCAGCTAGACCAGGGGTCGGCAACCTGCGGCTCCAGAGCCACATGCGGCTCTTTGGGCCCTCTGCTGTGGCTCCCTGTCGGGTGATCCCACCACTGGCTGGCCCCGCCCCTTGCCCTCCCCTCCCAGTTACTCCTCGCCTGGCCTGAGAAGATAAGGGTGACGGCAGGAGATGGAGAAGCAGCCAGGGCAGAGACAGCGAGATACAGAGAGAGTGGGAGAGAGAGAGACATAGAGAGATACAGAGAGAGTGGGAGAGAGAGAGATATAGAGAGATACAGAGAGAGTGGGAGAGAGAGAGATATAGAGAGATACAGAGAGAGAGGGAGAGAGAGAGACATAGAAGATACAGAGAGAGTGGGAGAGAGAGAGATATAGAGAGATACAGAGAGAGTGGGAGAGAGAGATATAGAGAGATACAGAGAGAGAGGGAGAGAGAGAGACATAGAGAGATACAGAGAGAGTGGGAGAGAGAGGGACATAGAGAGATACAGAGAGAGAGGGAGAGAGAGAGCCATAGAGAGATACAGAGAGAGTGGGAGAGAGAGAGACATAGAGAGATACAGAGAGAGAGGGAGAGAGAGAGACATAGAGAGATAACAGAGAGAGTGGGAGAGAGAGAGACATAGAGAGATACAGAGAGAGTGGGAGAGAGAGAGACATAGAGACATACAGAGAGAGAGGGAGAGAGAGAGACATAGAGAGATACAGAGAGAGAGGGAGAGACGGGGGAGGGAGGGAGGGAGGGAGAGAAAGAGATATGTCAAAAGGATTTTGTGGTTCCCGGTGTTTTTTAACAACTGGTTCTCTGCCCTAATGACCGCCTGGGTAGGCGTGGCTAGGGGGAGTCATGTGACTGGTGGAAGTGAGTGACATCGAGTTGGCCACGCCCACCCAGGTTTTGTGGCTCCCAGTGTTTTCTTTTCTGTGGGTCCAAATGGCTCTTTGAGTATTTAAGGTTGCAGACCCCTGAGCTAGACGCTTCGTGAAAAACCAAGGAAGACACTTGGAAATCGATGGGATCTTCAAGAAGCATTTTTTGCCTGGATGTGGCACATGGGTTCTTTTGAAAACAGATGCATTAAAAACCGGTTTGATGCTTATTGTCTTTTTTTCCTTTTCCTGTGTGTAGGTGGACACCATAGGCTAATTCTTCTTTCCTCCCTGCATTCCCACAAAAGCCAAGGATACGATCTCGGGTTTTTTTTTACATTACAAAATATAACCTCTCACTGCCAAGAAAGCTGTATAGAAGCTAGATGGCCATGATAAACCAGAAAATGGTTGATTTATTTACATACAGCATTTTACGCTCCATAACAAGCTTTAGCATGTTGTGAGAAACCAAGCCGAGAGGAAGTTTGTGTTAGTCTTTGGTAACAACAACAACAACAAAATCAGTGGTCTAGTTGTTGCACCTTTTCCGACTAACCCATATTAAACTACTTATTTAATTTCAATTATTTTATTAAACTTTATTTAAAAAGTAAAAGGTTCCATGAGCTGGAGCTCACAAAAGCTTCTGTTTTTTTAAAAAAAAATAAATTTGATTAGACAGAAAATATGCTAGTTCTGATTATTTGCAGCCCAAAAACCCTGAGGAAAGTTGCAATGTTACCGTCTTATAACCCAAGGTTTTCCAAACTTGGCAGCTTCCTATCAGTGGACTTCTACTCCCAGAATCCCCCAGCCAGCTTGCTTTAAGTTGGGTGGACTTCAACTCCAGGAATTCCCCAACCAGGTTGTTTTCAATTGAGTGGACTTCAACTCCCAGAATCCCCCGCCAGCTTGCTGTACGTTGGGTGGACTTCAACTCCCAGAATCCCCCAGCTAGTGTGCTTTACATTGGGCGGACTTAACTCCCAGAATCCCCCAGCTAGTGTGCTTTACCTTGGGTGGACTTCAACTCCCAGAATCCCCCAGCTAGTGTGCTTTACGTTGGGTGGACTTCAACTCCCAGAATCCCCTAGCCGACTTGCTTTACGTTGGGCGGACTTCAACTCCCAGAATCCCCCAGCCAACTTGCTTTACGTTGGGTGGACTTCAACTCCCAGAATCCCCCAGCCGGCTTGCTTTACGTTGGGTGGACTTCAACTCCCAGAATCCCCCAGCCGACTTGCTTTACGTTCGGTGGACTTCAACTCCCAGAATCCCCTGGAATTCTGGGAATTGAAATCCACCCATCTTAAATTGGCCAGGTTTTAAAACAGTGTCCTACCCTAACTGTTTAATATTATAATTCCGACATACATACATACATACATACATACATACATACATACATACATACATACATACATACATAAAATAGGCGGTCAACTCAAATAAAATTCATTCCCGGAGTTTTATTTTAAAGCATCCATCAGGTCGCTTTTCTCTTCTCTGCAGAAGCCGGAGGGCGCGCGGCCCCTTTAAGAACGGCGGCCCAAAAAAAAAAAAAAAAAGGAGGGGGCGGGCTCAGAACGCTGTCTTCAAAGGAACTGGCGGGGTGACGTTCCAAAGGGGCCCTCTCGGCGACTCCGCCCTCCGCCCATTGGTGCGCGGCTGTCATGTGGCGCTTCCGAATGTTCGGGTTAAGGCGGAAACCGGTCCGTAAAGGGGCCACCTGTGGGCAGAAGTGGACGGCAGCCCCATTGGGTGAGTAGAAGGCGAAGGAGCGGGACGGGCAGGCAGACATAAACCTCCCCAGAAAAGGAATGGGACCGGCCGCCTTGTGAGCCCATGGTCCGCGGATTGGACGATTCCATTGATGAGGCGGGGGGGAAACTTTAACAGCTGAACCCCCTCCAAGGAAGTATGGAAACTAGTGGCTTTGGAGGGGAGGGTGGGAGAACGAAACCAAGGCAGGTTTATTAGCTTAAGTGAGCCTGGCATGACTCTTTTGCCCTTCGAAGAACTTTTCTGGGGGATTCTGGGAATTGTGGTCCTGGGGGGGGGTTGATTGCAGATGGAAGATGGAAAGGAGAGGAGCCTCTTTAGGACAGCAAATTTGGGGAAGGAGAATTGGAGGGAGGAAATCCATGGAAGACCCCATAGAGGGTATGAAGATGCGCGCTGCTGACCTTCTTGGGGTGGTTCTCCAGATATTTTTGGACTACACCTCCCATAATCCCCAGCTTGCAAAGTTTCAAGCAGCAGGGATTCTGGGAGATGTGATCTAAAGGATCCAAGGGACATCTGGGGGGCCCCCCAACACTGAGCCCTGCTAGAAAGAGGTAGAGGCTAGAACAGGGGTTCTAGCATGGAATGTATGGACTTCAATTCCCAGAATTCCCGAGCTAACCATGCTGGCTCGGGAATTCTGGGAATTGAAGTCTATGGGGTCATAAAATTGACCACTCCTGTGATAGAAGGTGCCCAGGGCTGCTGATTCAGGAAGTCCATTTTCCCCAACATGATGCCTCCAAAGGTGGACCAGACTCGGTTCGTAACTTTCTAGGACAGGGGGTCAGCAACCTGTGGCTCTGGAGCCGCATGTGGCTCTTTCACCCCTCTGCTGCGGCTCCCTGTCACTCGAAATATGTGCCAATGTGTGACACCTACCGGCACACGATTTATTGAGCTTTTCAACCCCGGGTACGTCAACCATGGATAAATCCAAGAAAAGAAAAGTTTCAGAAGAAAACAGAACGTTTAATTCAACTACATACGCTAGTTTTGTGGCCGCTCAAGAAATAGTCAGGCACGGGGAGGATTTTTGTGGCTCCCGGTGTTTTCTTTTCTGTGGGAAACGGGTCCAAATGGCTCTTTGAGTGTTTAAGGTTGCAGAACCCTATGTTAAGTAATATATGTTGCGTCCCTTCCAGGAAGAATATACATCATTATGGCTTTGTTTGTTTATATCCCGCCTTTTATTATTATGTTTTCTTTTCTGTGGGAAACGCGTCCAAATGGCTCTTTGAATGTTAAGGTTGCAGACCCCTGTTTTAGGAATTTGACTTAGCAAATCTGGAGTCAATGAGTGTAAATCAGTTTTTTTCAAATGCTTGGCTGAGGAATTCTGGGAAGTCCGCACATCTTAAAATGCCCCAAGTTGAGAAACACTGATGTAAATGATTTGAGACATTCATCCTGTAATACATCAGCTGGCTGGCTATGGAGATTCTCAGTCATCCAGGTCACAGTTGTCCCAAACGACCTTTTTTTCAAGAGGCAACTGGACTTTCTGGTTTTTCTTTGAAGACATTTTGTTTCTCACTCAAGCATCTTCTTCAGCTCTGACTGGATGGTGGGGAATGGAAGGATTTCTACCTCCTTGCAGACATCAGCTGGCTGTTTTGATGTTTTGGGTCCCAGATCCCATCATCCTTGCCAATTACTGAGGCTGTGTAACTGGACCAACGTTTTATCGTGACGGAGCTGCACCAACAAAGGCAGTGGGATCATAGCTGTCAAAATTACTTAACTGGAAAGATCCCTGAAGGCCACCACAAATATAGCTTACCAGTTTATGTATAAATCAGTGAGTTTTTCTTTCAGGCTGCATCGAGTGACGTGGGTAGTTTGAAGGCTTCTGAAAGTTGGCCACTGACTTATAAAATATGAGGAAAGAGGACAGATTTTTTTTTTTTTAATGTGCTAAGAATTGGTGGGTGATATTTAGCGCTGCTCTGTATGATTTCTGTGCTTATTTTACAATAGTTGTAGCTGACCCAACAAAAACAGATTCTAGCTGGGATACCAAAAGCAAGATACCAAAAATAAAGCCATCAAACATTTTTTTAAAAAGCCCATCAAGAAACACAAAAGGAAATTCCATGCAATTATAGCTCCTGGGAAAGGGTGTTTTTTTTTTGGCCACGTGTCTTTCTGGAAATTCAGATATCAGCTGCATCCATTTGAAAATCCAGAGAGATTGTGTGTGCATTTTACAACGTAATGTTGAGATTTAGGATTGTCTGCGGAGATTCTCAATCATCCAGGTCACAGTTTTCCCAAAAGTGCTTTTTTCTATTTCAAAAGGCAACTGGACTTTCTTGAAAACATTTTGCTTCTCCTTCAAGGAGCTTCTTCAGAAGGGGGATGGGGGGGAATCAAGAAAGTCCAATTGCTTTTTGAAAGCACCTCTAAGAAGTTTAGGATTGTTACGTTAAAACCTTCAAATTGTGAAATGGGGTTTAACTCCCAAAGTAGTTACACGTTACTTAGAGGATAAGTTGCTTTCTCAATTTTCCACCCAGAATACTTACTTATTTACTTACTTACTTACTTACTTACTTACTTACTTACTTACTTACTTATTTAAGCAATAGCCTTCATACTTTTGTATATACCTGCTTAGTAGGGCTTTTGCCCCCCCCCAAAGCGGTGTTCTTTTTTATACAAAGTCAGCTTATTGCCCCCACAATCCGGGTCCTCATTTTACCTACCTCGGAAGGATGGAAGGCTGAGTCAACCTTGAGCCTGGTGAGATTTGAACTCGCAGTAATTGCAGGCAGCTGGCAGCTAAGTGCTACTTTAACAGCACTTTAGTCCGCTGCTCCACCAAGGCTCTTGGTGATCTCTGTAAGCATGCTTAAATTGGATCAAGCTCTATCTGAGTTAATTGAACTTTTCCCTACATAGGATTGCACCATAAATATTGCAGGGTTGCAGCATCTATGTTCTTGAATGCCTTCGTACTTGCTCTTAATATTTTGAACAAAAATGGATGTCGGATGACACTGCCTCAAGAGTCTCAACTTTTGCTGAATTCCTCTTTTTTCTTTATTATATTTGTTTCATTATATCTATTTCATTATATAAAATAACAAAGGAAAAAAATAGAAATGGGAAATTAAGGGAAGGAATAGGAGGGGGGGAAAGAAGCCCCCGCACTTTTTTTCTTTTCTTCTTTTCTTCTTTTCCCCAACTTTTTCTGAATTCCTTGTTGGTTGCTTCGTTGGCTTATAAACAAAATTTATTAGCCAAGCTATCTGTTAACTGATTTTGAGCAAGAAAATTGTCTACTTACGCAAGAAATAATTGCCAGACAAATAACTCAATTGCATAACAGAAATATTCCTAAACCAAGTAACCACAACATTTCTTTTAATCTTGTTTTACCAGCAGCGATACTCCTTCTGAGTTCATATGCTTTCGGATGAAATTATTAGCTGGGAGAGAAGTCAGTCTTTCTACATTATTATATATCCTCTTCTGAGGTGTAAGGATGAAGCATTTTGTTGTTCCTTCAGAAATTGCTACTGTCTTTGGATGCCAAACCTGCAAATACATCAAGATTGCCACAAACTCTGTTACTCCATCTTAGCGTAACTTCGTACTGCTATTTAATGAGTCGGTTTTTCATATCCTTGCTGCCCCCGACAGAATGAGAGAGATAATCTGGTATATTTTCTCTCTGTGTCAAAATTCAGAAGAATGCCTTTCTCTAAGCCTTTCAATGATGTCTTAACTTAGAATAGAATAGAATAACAGAGTTGGAAGGGACCTTGGAGGTCTTCTAGTCCAACCCCCTGCTTAGGTAGGAAACCCTACACCACTTCAGACAAATGGTTATCCAACATCTTCTTAAAAACTTCCAGTGTTGGAGCATTCACAACTTCTGGAGGCAAGTTGTTCCACTGATTAATTGTTCTAACTATCAGGAAATTTCTCCTTAGTTCTAAGTTGCTTCTCTCCTTGATTAGTTTCCATCCGTTGCGTCTTGTCCTGCCTTCAGGGGCTTTGGAGCAGCGCTCACCAACTGGTGGTCCGTGAGAAAATTTTGGTGGCCCATAGAAAAATTATTTGCATTTTTATATTGCCCTAAATACTATTTATCTTTTTAAAAAATTCATATTAGTGGTCCGTGGGATTTAAAATTATGAAATTAGTGGTCCCTGCGGTACGAAAGGTTGGCGAGCTCTGCTTTGGAGAGGAAGCTTGACCCCCTCTTCTTTGTGGCACCCCCTGAGATATTGGGACACTGCTATCATGTCTCCCCTGGTCCTTCTTTTCATCAAACTAGACATACCCAGTTCCTGCAACCGTTCTTCCTATGTTTTAGCCTCCAGTCCCCTCATCATCTTGGTTGCTCTTCTCTGCACTCTTTCTAGAGTCTCCACATCTTTTTTACATCGTGGCGACCAAAACTGGATGCCGTATTCCAAGTGTGGCCTTATGAAGGCCTTATAAAGTGGTATTAACACTTCACGTGATCTTGATTCTATCCCTGTTTATGCAGCCCAGAACTGTGTTGGCTTTTTTGGCAGCTGCTGCACATGGCTGGCTCCTGTTTCAATGGTTGTCCACTAGGACTCCAAGATCCCTCTCACAGTTGCTACTATTGAGCGAGTTACCACATATACTCTACCTGTGCATTTTGTTTTTCTTGCCTAAATGTAGAACCTTACTTCCTGGAGACTTCATCTATATCAGGGGAGTCTGTAAACGTGGCAATTTTAAGATTTGGGGACTTCACCTCGCAGCATGGCTGGCGGGGGAATTCTGGGAGTTGAAGTCCCCAAGTCTGCAGACCCTTGCTCTATCATAACACCTACCATCTGGAACGGGCTTCCCCCGGAGTTACGAAACATCCAAGATTTACGCATATTCCGCCGTGCCCTGAAAACATTTCTATTCCAACAAGCTGGTCTGGCCTAACTCTCCCTTTTTAATTGGCTTTTAAATTGGGTTTTAAACCTCTTTAGATAAAT